GGGCCAAGTGCAAGTGAAATCCTTCGTCTAGACCAACAAGTTTCTGGCTGTGCAGCGACCTCCAGCCGAAGAACCATGGGTGAGTCAGCCCGCCTGCCATTCATGAGTCCAGCGCCTGGCAAGTGCTCCACTTCGCGATGCAGCTGTGTGAGTGGACTCCTCCGTATCCAGCGTATCCAACGACCTATGTGACATGCCGCATGGTGTCTCGGTATCTTAGTTTCGGGTTGGCGGGGGCGTCGCCAGTCTCGATTATTCATTCATGGAGCGGCATTAGTCAACACCCACCGAAGACAATTGGCTGCGAGGTGAATTCCCTGGGCGACGACGACGCCTCAAAGTTCAACCTCTGACGACGCGTGTCGTCGATTCGATAAGAGTTCAGTGGAAAAGTTGGCTCAATTACTGTTAACTGGCGTTGAATCAAAACTTTTAGTGCCCTCTACGATTTGGCCAATTAGCCCACAGTGGGCCGCATTAACCGGAAAATGCCCGACCCATTCACTCTGACTTCCCTGCCAGGGTTTTTCCAACTTCATCCCACTGTGAGTGTTGAATTTTTCCACACACCATCTTATCGCTATCAGTCAAGAAATAAAAACAAAAAATCACGTCATCAATACCTTGAAAATTTGGCACAAGTCAGCGTGTCATGAACTGATTTGCAGCCCAATTTCGATTTTTGGGGGATGACGGGGAGGTAATTGCGATGACTTAGGGTGCAAAGATCACACATTTGAGGACCGTGATATCACGTGTCGGGTATCTGGAATATTATCAATGAGCCTTCGAGGAGATACACGTTATGCGGAGCCACAAATCAGAGCGGCGATCTTGTCAAGATATTGGAGCAGAAACTGGACTATAAAGCTATCGCCGAACTGGCGGAGAGTCCATTCCCAGTTCGATGGCCAGCGAACAGCCAAACATTGTGCGTCAGTTGGCTTTGCTTTGGGCAGATGATCTAATTACCGATCTGATTTGGTCGCAACTCTTCGCCGATGGCCAATGGAAAGTTTCGCGATGGAATACGTGCCGCGGAATGGAGATCGTGACTGTGCTTTTTCGAGTATGGAAATTCAGGGGATACTCCCAGCGACTTTGTGTTTATTATTCTTTATTCTGCGTTTAATTTTACTTTTCTAGCTGAATATCAGGTGAAACTAAGTGTTAGGTTGGCATATTGGTACTCTTGTCCTGGAGGGGGAGGCTTCCGATGTTCTTTGCTCGCCGTTTTTGGATCGTAGGCCCTTGGTAAGCCTTCTACCTCTCAAACCAAATCAGAATAAATATTAATATCAGAATAAATGTAAATGTCTACTGTTCAATAGGGTACATTTTAAATTTAAAGTCCAACTACACTACTACTTATTTGATCCATTAAAAATGACCAGTAAATTCTGCGACTCCATCTTCTTATAGAACCACTACTCATTTACTCCCAAAGCAAAAACTAATAACCCGAACAATTTCGCAAGCAAGTCTCCGTTGTGAACTCCATTGTGTCCAAGTCAACCTGTTTTGGCGTTATCATCCATCTCGTGTGGTAAAGAGCCAAGATTTTTTTTTTTGTTTTGGTGGGGGAAGAGTGGCTCTAATCGGGGGCACATGTGGCTGGCCGATCGACCCAGAGATCTCTCCATTGTCGCGCCCCAAGATTTCCCATGGCCTCTCGAAAAAATCCCCCGCGTTGAAAAACATGATTTTTGATCCCGGTCCGCAATCAATGCAATTAATTTCGCATCTAAAAATAAAGAAATAAAACTAGCCATGCCACGCCTCCTCCTAAAAAAAAGGGGGGGCGGGGGAGGGAGGGGGGATTATTGGAGGAGTTAGTTGTTGTGATGTGTTTTATGTTTCTGTGACGCAAACAAAAACCTCAATGGCAGACAATCCAGCGAAGGTGCTCATAATGAGGCACATGGACACACGGCACACGTACGCACACCACTTTGCTTCGAAGCAAAAATCCCCCAGCTGAAGAGGTGGGAGGGGGAGGGGGAGGAATGGGGGAGGGGAGGATTCAGTTTTGGGTGGGGAGGTGCCACCAACTTCATACGTAATTGATGAAATATAAATAAGCAATGAGCAAATACAAGAAGGCAACAAACGAAAAAGATAGGGGAAGACTGATTGAGGGGGAAGGGGCAAATAAAGGGGCAAAAGGGTGGAAGGGGGTGGTGGGGGGGAGGGAGAGGTATCGAATCCAACAATAACTGTAAGCGTGGCGCGCACTTCTGACTCCGATTTCGAATCCGATTCCGAGTCCGATTCTTTTCGCACGACGGCACTTCGTTGACTTCATTGACGTCCACGCTCCACCACGTCGCAGTCGACGTTGCCGTTGCCGTTGCAGTCGACGTCGACAGCGCTGCCTGTGCCGCTGCCGCTGCTTTGGGAGATAGCAGGCAGGAGGGCTCCTCCACGGCAGAAGCGGTAGCGCCGACAGCGACGCCGGCAGCGGCAGCGAGTGGGACTGCCTCACAGGCGGCCGGCGATTTTCGTATAAATATAAAATTATGCGCCGGCCGGAGACCATGAATCAGTTTCGCTTAGACACACGCCAATGCTAATTGTCCCGGTTTTGTGAGCAATCCCGGCAATCCCGAGTCCCGACAATCCAAGCCAAACGAAACCAAACCAACACCCGCGAGTCAATCAAAAGCACACGCACTTTAACCTATAACCTACAACCTACCTATATCGAATCAGAGTTTCAGTCTGACTGATCTCTTGAGAGTTAACTTCACCTAGTTTAAATACCACACACAGTATTCAATGGAGCTTGCCAGAATAGAACGCGATCCATCTGCAAAAATGCAACATCACAGTAAGTATGGGGATTGCAAAGTTTGGGATTCTCCATTCTTCATTTCGGGAATTAGATCACCGAATCGCACCACCCACAAATACCACCCATCGGTCGACTTCAGATAACTTTAGCTGCCTTTCGCAACTGTTTATAAAAAGATGATTTGCTCGTCGACCCATTACGGAATAACTCCGATCGGTTCCCATGATTAATGCCGAGTGTGTGTGCCGTGCACTGGTGTTAGTAGAAAAGCAGTAGTGTGTCTTCTGGGGTGAATCCCCCGATCGCTCGCCGAGTGATCGAACTGTTAATAATCGGCTTCGAGGCTATAATGTATAAATGTATAATGCCAAGTGCTGCTCGGTGGCCAGCGAGGTGAAAAGCGAACGAATCCATTAAATACTACTTAACTCCAAAAGTAGCCCAATTAGAAATCCTAAAAATAGCAAACATTTGATAAAGATATACCATTAAAATTTGACTGAAGAAATGCATATAAAAAAAGAAAAACAAAATAACAAAGAGAAGAATATTAAAGAAAATGGTTTTGTGAATTGAAAGCAGAAAAAGAATCAGCTAAAGTAAATATTTTCTAGAAAAATGGTATTTATAAATCAAAAATCTACATTTTTTTTTGATATTCTTTGTGGTATTGTTTCGTTTTCAAAATTTTCTAGAAAACATGTTCTCTACTTAGAAAAGCTCAAGAGCAATTAAATTACTACAAAAAAATAAATTTAATTACCATAAAATAGTTCAAATAGCAGTTAGATTGTTGGGTATTTCATTTATTGTTGAACCTTAGCTTTTTGCTGCTTGTCGAAATGAATCCCTTATCAAAGAGTTGGCACTTGCCATTTGTTTGGCCAACATTCCGCAGTCAGTTGCCGGCAAACAGAAAGCTCAAGAGCTGCACGTACTTGTATGCTAAAGTTATATATCTCTCCGATAACTGGGGGATCAATCCGATTAGGAATCACGCCCCACTCCTCACATGACCACTCGCGTGCAATCCCCTCCAGCTGCGATCTAATCTCCTCTCCAATCCGCTCACATGAGTTCTTCCGATCGAATTCGCATCTTGGATTGCGCGATTCGATAAGGACACTCTTCAAATCGCTTTCGCTGGCCAAAAGAAATCGTAAAAGCATTAATCACCCGACGGCACAAAAGGCGTTAATCGCGAACCAGAACTTTCCAATATCTCGATTATTGGGCAATTAGTGATTTTATGATTTAATGACCTTAACCAGCTGATCAGCAGCAACAAAAACCAACAAAAACAACAACAGTATTCAGAACAGTGGGGCACGTGCTTATCGCAGTCGACGTCGCTGTTAGCGTTGCAGTCGGCAGCGACGCTGGCGTCGACAGAGCGCAGCGTTATCAAGTCGCTGACCTACGACAACAACGCCGACGTCGATTGGTCGGCCGGCGACGAGCGGTAAAGTGGAAGAGCGGTGGAGCGGTAGAGCGGTCGAGCGGCCTGAGTGGGAATTTGAATTATTCGAAAAAAAAAAACCGCGAAGGGGGGAAAATATAAAAGTGGAGCGTGGCTGGGGGGCCGTTGGGTTTGTCAGCTGCCTACGTCATCGTTTCGCCGCAGACTCCGCCGACGTCTGGGAAGCGTCTGGTGGCAAAAACCAAAAAAAATAAATTACAGCTACAGCCAGAGTAGAGACACACACACCGAAAAAAAAAAACCCAAATACCTATGAGTAATATTTCTGGTGAAATTCAGCCAAAAGCGGAGAGTCGTCCCGTTCGGCGAGAGCGGTTTCGCTTTGGAGTGCGAGTGCGAGAGCATGACAAATGCTCAAAACAATTTCAGAAAAAACACAAGTATATATATATCCAGATATATTGCTCAAGGCCCGATCGCAAAGGCTGCTGTAATTGCACTCACTCTCCCGATCGATTGGGAATTGAGAATCGAGAAGACTGGAAAACTGAGAAATGAGTCTGCGACACTGAGCATTAAGTATTGAGTATTGAGTATTGAGTAGTGGGTATTGAGGAGTGAGTACTGAGTACTAAGTAACTGAGTAACTGAGTAACTGAGTCGAAACGATCGTGCGTGAGCGGCGGACGAGCGGACGAACGGACGGCGGACGGACGTCGATCGCTGACGGCTTACAAATTTTCGAGCGGCGCTGCAGCGGCAGTCATTTAGCCAGCAGCCGTCGAGCAGGAGAGACCGTTCGCAGTTAACCGATTGTGTTAGCCAAGTTAGCTTAGCCAGTTAGTTAGTCAGACAGGCAGTTCGTTAGCCAAGTGGCAGCGACTAAAGTTAGTGAAGTGTTTAAAGGCGCGAGTGCGTTTTACCGGACCAATGCAAGATTTTACCATAAACGGTACGCCTCGGGACTTACACCCCTCTCCCCTCTTTTGTGGATCTTCCTCTTACTGATGCAGACCCCTCTTCTCCCCTCTCTTTCTCTCCGCAGCAGTCAGTGCACAGAGCCAAAGCAGCAGCGGTAGCAGCAGCGGTAGCGGTAGCAGAAGGCCACACAGCAGCGGCACGAGCGGTACAAGTTGCCTCAACTGCCAGGCGCTGCTGATCGTCGTGATCCTGGCCGCCGTGATGCCACTGCCACATGCTCGTCATCTCCGCGATCAGATGGCTCTGGATTACGCCTACGATGAGGATAGATCATCATCATCATCCTCTTCCTCTTCCTCTTCCTCCGCCGGAGCAGATGTCCTGCCCGCGTTCAATGTGAATCCCTATCGCGGATTGGTGGAGAGCTTCGGCGAGGGCAGCTACGACAGCGATCTCAGCCTGAGCGAGAGCAGCTACGAGGAGATCGCCCAGGCGGCCATCCGAGCGGCGCGGCGGGAGATGCGCCGCCAGCGGACGCGGCACGCCCGCAGCCACAACCTGCGCCTCTTCGCCGGCGGCCGGTCGGAGATTCCCGAGTGGGAGAATCCCTGCGGCGGCACCTACACTCCCGACGAGAGCCTCGCCGACAGCAGCTCCAGCCAGGGAAGGGTCATCAAGCGAAAGGTGAGCAGGAGATTCCAACTGACTACTAAACATATATAGAGTGAAGAGGGGTTTCAAAGGGTTTGCAGTCCTTCTTACTTTAAATAGAACTAAAGGGGGAACAGATCTAACTAACTTAAATAATGACTACTTCAAAGCACGCAAACTACCTTTAACTGCAAAAAAATATTTACATAAAATAAAAGGTGTAAGGTCAGTTTTTCTATTGATTTTTTTTTTTCTAATATTAGTTTTTACTTTTGCATAAATACACTTCTCTTTTTTAATAGTAATTTATACTGCATTTATTTTTGTTTGATAGCTCTTTGTTTTGCAAAAATATTCTTCTACTCATTAAATATCGAATTTTGAAGATGACTATAAAAGGTTCCTTTTAACTAACTTGCAACTTGCTTAACTCTTAATATCCCTTTAAATGCTTGATTTTGTTTTGAGCAGCTTTAGCTACTTAACTTAAACCCCCGAAAACCCCTTGCTCTAATTCCCTTTGTGGGTGGCTCTTACGACTGCGATGGCCATTTGCCCAGTTAATTGAACCCGAAATATTCAAGTCACAGAGGAGAGCAAAGGCATTTTGTCACTCAGCTGGGAAGCATTACTCATCAGAGCCCCTTCTCTTTCTGCTTTTGCCCCCTTGCAGCACCTCGAAAACTTGCGGAACATCACGATGAGCGAGTACCAAGACATCACCCATCGGGCGACGCTGGAGTATGGAAACCACCAGCACTTCCAGCGCGAGTACAAGTTCCTGCCGAACATGACGAAGCCGACGAGCGCGGTAAGTTGCAACCACACTTAACACAGTGTTTACAGTATTCAGTTGCAAGTTGAGTGTGTTGGCAGCCAGAGCGGCGGACCTGCTCCGCCCAGGGCACCGCAGACCAGTTTCCCCTCATTTGCATTGCCCTTCCCAGCCAAACGAAAACAGAAAACAGCAAAAAAACTAAAGAACACCATTATCCCATATCTGAATTGCAGGTGAAGCTGAAGACCTGGTACCGCCACATGCAGACCTTCGTGGGCAGCTTCTCGTATCTGGGACGGGCACAGTACAAATTCCGCAAGGATCAGCAGAAGAGCCTCAACGAGGCCGTCACCAAGGAGCTGCACGATCTGCTGGTCAGTGCGCGCTACATGCTCTGCGAGATCGAGTCGACCATCAATGCCTCCTATCCGAATAGCAACGGTGCCAAATTGAGTCGCGTCAGCCGGCAGGCGATGGAGGAGCGTCTGAATTTCCACACGCCCGCCAACGGATCCTCGGAGGCGGACCAGCGCGACCTGAAGGTGAGCAAGGAGCTGTACTTCCAGTATTTGGACAACATTTGGAAGACGCTGCACCGAGCACTCCGTCGGCCAAGCAAGAGGAACAGCGGCGAACGGCGGCACTCGGCGAATTCGGCGGGAAAACACGGAGCTCGCAGCTCGGAAATGCTCGACTTGGGATCCTCCTCGAACGGAGTGGGAGCGAGTCTGAGTTCCGGCTCCGATTCCGGTTCGGCGGAGTCTTAAGTGGCAGGTGCCAAGTCAGCGAAGAAAAGCCCTTCCAGTATTACAGCTTTCCAGCTAACCAGCTTCCAAGCCAAATAGAGGAAAACCCGACCGACGAATTAACAAAAAAAAAAAACGAGGCGGCGGGATTAACGAAGAATTTTTGTCGAATGCCATTTAGACACGTATTTTTAGTATTTATTTATTTATTTATTGATTTATTGATTGATTGAGTATTGAGTATTAGAGCGAATACCATTCCAGTTTGCCAATCCACTCCATTTTCCACGCTTCCATCTCGACTATTTATTTCCCATCTAGAATATGGCTATATTTTGTTTCTCTATGTGTAGTAATTTATTTATTTATTTATATACATATATATATACATATATACAAATATCAATGCTGTATTTATAACTATTTATTTGTGAACGGCGAGAAAAGCTTGCCAAGAAAAAATGAAAAACACCCAACAACAAAAAACCAGCCACAAACAAAAAAATGCTTAAATCTACTGTGATTTATTTTAAGTACTTTTTTTGAATAGTTCTTAGTGAATGTGAAGGAACACGATTGTAAATGAAAACGAAGCGAAGTATTGTACAGACATTCTTGTGCTTAGTTGTAAGTTTGTGCAGAATAAACATAGAAAAGACAAACGGAAGTGTAATATTCATTTGCGGGTAAATAAAAAAAGGAACAGGACTCCCCTTGTTCTTTTTGCTGGGGTCGACTTGTACTTCCGATAAATAACAGCTTATCGGGTTATTATTCACATTTTCTTCTCATTTATGACTTAATAACCTCTTCACTAAATGACGTTGTTTACTCGATAAACGTTGACAAAAACAAAGACGGATTCTTTATGTCAAAATGCAAATACCCTTTGTCTGATTAGAACATTTAAACATACTTAAAAAAATCCTTATAGTAAAGAAACAATAGTCCCATAAAATAATCTTGAATAGTTAGAGATAACGTAAATATACTAATATGGTTCGGTTTCGTAATAAAAATTTTAGCTGTCACTTTTCTAGTCTTTACAAATCATAAAAAGTATAACACCAAAGACATCTGCATGTAAATTGTTTGATTTAATAAAAACAATTCATATTTGTTGTGCATTAGGAAAGCCTTGGACTTTTTGCTGCCCTTTGAGGAATGTGTTAAATTAAATTGCCTTTTTCCCCTTGGCATTATCAAAATGATAGCCAATTCGATCGGTTCTAATTCCGTTGTGTGAGAGCTCGCGCCACTTCCGATCGGAAGCTGCTTATCGGGCAATTACTGGCCGTATCTGCTCCTTTATGGGCCAATAAGTCCGCCACTCGTGACACTCGTCCGCTTGCCCGATTTAGTCCGCTTAACCCAAATAGACGCCTGTTTTTTCGAGTGGCGCCCCTCGAGAACTGCAAAAGTGGTAGGATCGATGGGTTTCCGTTAGCACTCGAAGAAGAAATCGGCACGTCCGCTGTCCGCATTCCTTATCGAGGGCTAGCATCTTATCGGTTTATTCATTCCCCAGGCATTCGATGAATGCAGCTTGCGTTCGCCTTTTCTCAAATAACTCACTTAGCCACCGATTTGCCAATCGGCAATTGGCGGCTAGTCATAGTCATAATGTCTGGTTGGCTAGCCGGCGCACTGCCGTTGCCGTAGGTCGTACTGCAGTCGCACGCCGTTGGGTTTTCCCTCGTTCCGCTTGCAAAGTCAGCGAAGTCAGCGAATTACTCATACGACGCGTGGCTCAAGCAATGCGCGCCCTCTAGCGTTAGGTATAGTTACTCATACAGCACAGGTTCGGTTTCCCAGCAGCGAGCTATTGTCCATCTGCATTTAGTTTACAGAAGTAGGCAACACTTTTCAGCTGCCCATAAAAGCATGCTACGAAAAGCTTTTATTTTAAACAAAAGGATATTTAATATAAAAAATCAAATTTTACCGCTTAAAAAGAACCCAATAAAAGTGAAATATACTGATTATTATTACTAAATCCACTTAACAAAAATCTTACATTAATGTTAAAGCATTTTAAAAACAAAACTATGCTTATAAAATAAACCAGCTTAATCGCATTTAGCTTATTATCCAGAATAGAAGTTTTTATTCTAAGCTTACAACTAGTCCTTTCTACATTCTCATTAATAGCGCCACCTAGAAATACAAATTTCCCTTTATTGCCTTGAATACAGGCTTTTTATAGCAAACCAAATTCAATTCGCTCGTTCAACCAGTTTGAATTTCGTTGATTGAACGTCTAGCTTAACGCTTTCTCATGGAGTTCCCCAATTTGTTCTCCCGACTAAAAAGGATTGTCTATGTGGGTGAAGTGAGCGTGAGTGTGTGTTATTTTTTTGTCACCGCAGGAGTTACGGAAGCATTTCGTTTCGCTTGTAAGCCTGGCTTATAAGGCTCTTGAGAAAAGGGGACCAAATCAACCGCATTGATGCGATGACAACGAATTTTCATGGCGGCCATCGAAGCGCAAAGTGTTCGCAAATCGCCCATTAATAATTTGAATTAACTTTTGTTGCCTGGCCAAACACTCTGAAGAGCGAGCGAGATGGAGATAGCGAACCGCACTCACACTCTGGCACGCGAATACAGGGACACACGAACACACACACACAGAGGACGCATTAAATTCAATTAACAAGACATTGTAAATATTGTCACACCTTTCACAAAAGTCAACACGAGGCCAACACTCGAAACTTGTCGTTGTTGCCACTTTATTCTTTGTGCATGCTGTGTTGCCGCTGTTTGCATATGGATAGAGCGCCCAAAAAGGGGCGGGGCTGTGGGCGGTCTACACAACGGCAAAAAAATGGGTAACAAGGGAATAAAAATAATATTAAGGAAGAAAAAATAACAAAGAAGCCATCCCTGGATGATTGAAATAACAGCAGTGTATCCCAAAAATAAACTCCGAGATTTTGTCGTTCGCTGGTTGAGATGTCTATTAAAAACACTCTCAGCGCTTTCCGCATTTCTAATGAGCCTAAAAAGAGGTAAACACAATCATAAATAATTGTAAAGGGAAATCAAAAAGGGATGGAATCTCGGAAAATCAAATAAAAATGCTGGCCAAAGTTTTAAAATACCCAAAAGTACCAAAAGATTCAATTAAAGTAATATGAAATATCATTATAGAATCTATAATTCCTGTTCGGAGTTTTGATTTCTATTCTCAAAATTGGTTGACATTTTGATCATAATTTTTGGGGACACTTTATTTTTATCTCTGCAGCGCAAATAAATGCAAAGTAAATATAATGATGAATAAATAAATGTAAACTTTCGAATTAATATACAAAAACCTTTATGAAAAATTCATTATTAAACAAGTTTGCCGGTGGCAAACCAAAATTAAAAAGCATGATATGCAAACGAGGCAAGCGCAGTGATACTTTTCTCTCACTGCACGACGTCTGGTAAGCAGCCAGGTAATGGATCAATTCCCGCCCCGCCAACTTGCCAATTTTTGATTCGAGCTAAGGTTAGAGGTCACACGGCTGCGACTACGACTACGACTACGGGATATTACATACGTGAGCTGCTCCCAGACTTTTTTTCGCTCCTCCGTGCGACTGTGTGCGTAATTGCGTCTATTTGATATGTTTAGCTTGTCTGCCACTGCTGCTGGTGCTCCTGCCACCCATTTTATCCTCGAATCCCGTACGAGGATGGAGGGAATGAAGTCTATTTATGCTCGAAAGTGTGAAAGTGGATTAGCGCCTCGAGCGGAGAAAGTGTGGTTGCATTCCGTCGGCGACTAAACGCGAATTCGAATCCCCAGCGAAAGGAGCAGAGATGCGGAGATACAGATACTGAGATACTGGAGATACTGGGGATACTGGGGATTCCAGGACGGGATCGGGGATGCTTGACCTACATCGCTGGGAGGGGCAGACAAGCAGCCCTGCCATCTAATCCCCGCCAGCTCCCCGAGCTCCTCGAGCTCCTCGATTCCGCCACCCTTGTAATTACGGAACGCCTGGCGACCGACTGGGGGCCACTGGCGCCATTAACCCTAACGAGGCGGCGTCATTTTAATGAATATCGGGTTAATGAATATTTTATAGAAAAATGTGCAATGTTCGCAAGGCCGCAGATACGAGTACCTGGCTGGTTGGCTGGTTGGCTGGCTGCCTGCTTACTTGCTTGCTTACTTGCCTGCTTACTTGCTTGCTTACTTGGTTGGTTGGTTGGTCAACATCGAAGAGGATAGCTTTGCTTTTTTGTTTGCTTTCGTTGTTTTGTCTTTGTTTTCTTTTTTTTGCGAACTTTACTTTGTGGCCCTCTGGCATCCCCATTCTTCTTCTCCTATTTTTTTTTTTTATCCCACTCAATAAAAATTGCAGCGCATAGCAAAAGGGTCACGTACTTTAATTTTGCTTACTCCGTGAATGAGTGCAATTGAAATGAATAGAAATGTGCAGCCGGTCGGTTCCTCGAAATGGGAAAGCCGTCGCCGAACCTCCAATCTAGAAAACCCCCTCGTCCCCCCCGAAACCCCCCAATCCCCCGAATCCCCAGCAAGCGAACCCAAAAACCCTTGACCCGGCTACGTGTGAGCTTTTGGACAAATTGAGCGTGGGCGACCAACTGGCGATACTTGAGATTTTTAGCCGAGTGCCATCGAAAAGGGTTTTCCTGTGCATTTGCATTCTGGCTGGCAGCTCGATATTAAATCCATCAGCAGTCGATTTCTAGGTGACAGGACATGCGAAGTCCTGCAGCTGAAGGACGAATTTGAATAAAATTTTAGGTAATTAAGCTGGCAAGTGGCTAAAGCTTTTACTGCTTCACCTTGTTCAATATTCTCCCATTAAGTTTGATTCAATTTTAGGGTTTTCCTTTTTTTTTTTTGCTTTGAACTTAAACTTGAATTCTGTTCATTAATTTTTATAACTGGCGAGTTAATTGCTAAACCCCTTCTTGTTTATTGAATGCGGATCAGCTGTCGAGCATTGTTGTATGGGAGTGCCTTTGTTCCACCACTTAGTGTTTTCCACTAAATATGAGATGGCTCCACGGATATAAATTGAGCGCAATCGGCTTATTAACTGAACAATAGTCACCCCCTTCGCCTTGGCCGAGAGTGGATTGCGTGGCTGGTGGATTCTGCTGAACGGGACATTCGGCGATGGACTTAAGGCAATTAGGCATCAATTTTCATTGCCGTTTTGCCCATTTTGGGTGCCGCACTGTTTTCGGCAATTAGCCAAGTCCAGGTCAATAATAACTGAGAGCCAGGGGATTGTACTCACCCCCCTGCCCTCTCCCTTCCCCCTTCCCCTTTTGTCCTAATTCCGAATCTGGGGGTTTTAAGTTTGGCCATTGATTTGCTGCCAGGGATTTCGACCAACGCACCAACGGGGAATCGAAGTTTAGGCCCACGGCAGGTGTCTGGTCATGCGGGCTTTGTTTGCCTGTTAGTTTTGCCAGTAGGCAACATGAAAAGGACGAAGGAAAAGGGAATCCAGCGAAAAACTGCGAGAAAAGAGCTGGCAAACATTTGCCTAAGCTCGCGAAAGTCAAAGGGAAAGGTGCGTCCATCGCAGTGTAAATAAATAATTCAACTTTGCAGTCTCGGTCGGGAATGGCTTCGAGATTCAGTGGTGTTCTCCCTGCCTTCAAAGGAAAAAAGAGAGAA